TTAGTTTGATGCAGTCCCTATTATCTCTGCCTCCATTTGCTTGGTCAATGCACTGAATTATTGAAGATGCCTCTAGATTCAATATCAAGAAGGATTCTACTATGTTTTCAATAGAATTTGTGGATTCCAATGTGATATCAAGGTCTTTAATTCTTGTTCCAATTTCTTCACACAATTGTGAAGCCAATGGTGTGTATGAAAAAGATTCTGAATTAACTTTCCTTGAACATGTAAAGCAAACATACAAAGAAAGGAAGGACGATTGGAGGAAATGATGCAATTATTTGGATTTCTCATCATCAATTTACTGGGAAAAAATAATCTTGTAGGTCTTATAATGATTTCATCTATGTTTTAAACCTTTTTTTCCCCAGAAAACAGATTAAATTTAGTTTGGTCTGCTTAGATAACAAATGATATCTAGTAGTTCATTGTCTGAAAGAAACATCTTTCCAGCTGAGGAACACCTTCATATTAAAAAGCAGTTTTGAGCAAGTGGAAACAAAGATAACAAATGGGCCTACATAAAACTAAGAATCTTCTGTACCCCAAAAGAAACAGTGTCGAAGAAACAAAGACAGTCCATGGAATGGAAAAAATTATTTATCGAATACCCATCTGATAAAGGATTAATATCAAAATTATATAATATACTGGTAGAACTTTATAGGAAAAAATCCAACCCCATAAAAAATGGGGAGAAGAAATGAACAGAAACTTCTTCAAAGAAAAAATTCAAATGTCCAAAAGGCAAAGGGCATATGAAAAATATCCTATATCACTAACCATCAGGGAGATGCAAATCAAAGCAAAAATGAGGTATCATCCCATACCACAGTGTTTGGCATACATTCAAAAGAGCAAGATCAACCAATGCTGGCCCAGATGTGGAGCGAAAGGAACTCTTCTTCATTGTTGGTGAGAATGCTGATCCAGCCTTTTTTGGAAAACAATATTGACATTCCTCAAAAAACTAGAAATTGAGGGGCTGCAGCAATAGCACAGCGGATAGGGCATTTGTCTTGCATGCGGCCAACCCAGGTTCAATTCCCCGCAGCCCATATGGTACCCCGAGCTCTGCCAGGAGTGATTCCTGAGTGTATGAACCAGGAGTAACTCCTGTGCATTGCCGGGTGTGACCCAAAAAAGCAAAAACAGCAACAACAACAACAACAACAACAACAAACTAGAAATTGAACTCCCATGACCCAACAATACTACTTCTGGGAACATACCCTGGGGGCCCGAAAACATATAGCAGAAATGTCACCTGCACTCCTATGTTCTTTGCAGCACTGTTCACAATAGCCAGAATATGGAAACAATTGAGTGCCTGAGAACAGACAACTGGATACAGAAATTATGGTACATCTACATAGTGGAATACTATGCAACTGTTAGGAAAAAATGAAGTCATGAAATTTGCCTATAAATGTATGGACGTGGAGAGTATCATGCTCAGTGAAATAAGTCAGAAGGAGAGGGACAGATATAGAATAATATAAATGTGTGTGTACATATATATGTACATGTATATGTATATTAGCGAGACTAATATATACATCCAGAACTCAGGATGCTCCTCCCAGACGGGAGTATAAAATGAAGCTTCCAGAACCATGCCACCGGATTCCGCACCAGGCTGTGGGGCGGGTGAGAGCCCTCCCCACCCCAAGGGACTCAGCCCCAGCAGCCAACCTCCACTACCCAACCACCACCATGCTTCAGGTTGCTTTCTGGACTGCACAGCCGCATTATAAGATTATATAAATATATGCCTCTTAGAGAGCCTGGTAAGCTACCGAGAGTATCCCGCCCGCAAGGGCAGAGCCTGGCAAGCTCCCCGTGGTGTATTCAATATGCCAAATACAGTAACAATGACAGGTCTTATTCCCCTCACCCTGAAAGAGCCTCCAATCATTGGGAAAAGAGTAAGAAGAGGCTGCTAAAATCTCAGGGTTGGGAGGAATAGAGACATTACTGGTGCCGCCTGAGTAATTCAGCGATCAACCGGATGACAGTGATGACAGTGATGACAACAGTGATTAGTGAGACTAATATTAGTCTAATTGATTAGTGAGACAAGGCCAAGGGGAGTTAGGATAGTATAGAAAAGGGACAAGTATCATGATAATAGTAGGAGATGATTATTTTAGACAGGAACTGAGTGTTGAAAATAGGTAAAGGGACACATCAGAAAACCTTTCAGTATTGCACCCCATATGCCCAAAAGGAATGAAAGAGACAGAGGGAGACATAAAGAGAGAGAGAAGAAAAGTGCCTGCCATAGAAGCAGGCAGGTAGGGGAGGGAAACTGGGGACATTGGTAGTGGGAAATGTACACTGGTGAAAGGACGGGTATTGGACATTATATGACTGAAACCCAACCATGAACAACTTTGTAATTGTATTTCTCAGTGTAATTCAATAAAAAACAAATAACATTTCAAAATAAAAAAACAGTATTAACAACTGATTATTATATAGATATTAACAGCCTTCTACTTAGAAACAGTTTTGGGTTTCTGTGACTATTTACAAAATCAATAATTAATTTTGTTTTTAATATGGTACTGTCACACTACCCCTTACTTTTCAGTAGAAAACACTGTTGCTGATACTTAGAATTACTTTAATTTCAAGTATTCACTTTGTAGAATTTCCCTAATAGTGCTAATCATTTTTCTGACATAGCTACTTAAGAATAATAGTTCTCAAATAGTCTTATATTTATGGTTGCTTAGAAATGGTGACAGGTCTCAGTAACATGCTGTATGAGACATATAGTGTCAAAATCATCCAAAACAAGAAATTCTATAAGGGTTGCATTAGGAGTACACTTAACATAAGCAATATCAAGAGTAGAACTTAATCCAGTCTGCAAAGAGCTAAAGGTAAGTTTTTTAAGACTTTTACATTTGGGGGCTAAAATTAGAAATACCATAAATCATTATTAAACTGTTGATATTACTAAAATAGAGTCGTGTCTAATTAACACAAATGAGTTTGTTATAATCATGTCATTAGGTGAATGCTTTTTAATTTTTTCACTGACCAGTAAAAATAAGCATGTTTACATAATCCATTAAATTGAATATTCTATAAAACTATAAAACTCTTTGGTGCTGGAAATATGGTATTATCTACTAACAATTTTGTTAAATGTCTATGATCTTGTGGTACTTTTACAATGGCATGTTAAGTATTGCTAAAACTTTCTGCTTTACTCCTCTTAAAAACATTACCTGCATGGATTTTTTTTCTTTTTGGGTCACACCCAGTAATGCTCAGGGGTTACTCCTGGCTCTGCACTCAGGAATCACTCCTGGCAGTGCTTAGGGGACCATATGGGATGCTGGGAATCAAACCCAGGTTGGCTGCATGCAAGGCAAATGCCCAACCTGTTGTGCTATTGCTCCAGTCCCCTACCTGTGTTTTTGAATCAAAACTTTATGGATGTTTATCTTCGTATAAACATAAAAGCACGAAGACTTTCTTTTAATCTTCAATTTTCAGGATAGCCTAATTCTAACTGAATATTCATCTGGAATATAAGCAAAGATTTCTTTATCTTAGCCCTTGTTTCCTAACGAGACCCAGGCTCCACCATATGCCTGCCCCGGGAAACCATGGTCTACGATGGTCCAGTGTCTTGGAATGCTATGCACTGTTAGGAGGTAACAGGAAGAAAGCATACGAAATCATTGGCAACCAATGTGCTCCCAGGTGAGCAAATGTGGTGGGTCTTCCTGGTCACGGCTCCTTGCTTTCTACCAAAGTCACCTACCCTATCTTCTCTCCTCCCTGCCATGAGTCACCGCCGTGTTTATTAAGATAAGCCAAGAGCACACACTTTATCTTTTACAGAAGCACAGAAATGGACACACTTTGCCATTAGGTTTGACTCTTCAATGAAAGTCCTAGGATGTGAGTTTAGCATGAACTCATTCCTTCCGCTTCAGCAGACAGATGGATAGAGACATTCCAGTTTGTTTCCAGTCTTTTGTCTTTGGAGCATTTTTGGCATTTCCTTCAGGAAACTGGAGGTGGTGACCTAAGTTTTCCTTAGTGAGCACACTTCTCTTTCCCACAGTCAGCCTTACCCAGAAATGACAACTACGCTATTAGGTAAGGTTTATCTCCAGGTCCCAACTGTGTCCTGTTCACAGTCAGTGATATTTAAAAACACAAATTCTGAATGTAACAATAGCACTAGAGAGCCCGATATACCAAAATACATCAATTTAATTCTCAATCAAGAGGACAATCAAAGCACAATAAGGATTAATGCTGACCATAATTCTGTGATGTTTGCAAAGTGCCTTTGCCCTTATTTATAATTGAAGAAATTAATGACTAGGGATGTTAAAGTATTCACAAATTTTCAGATAAAACAAAGGTACAATGCTCAGCTTGCATTCTACAGCTTGCTTTCTCAATGAGATCGCAACGCTCAAGTTTTATTTTGTTTTCTTTATTCATTTATTTTGGTTTTGGAGCCATACCAGGCAATGATCAGGGGTTACTCCTGGCTCTGTACTCAGGAATTACCTCTGACAAGGCTGGGGGACCATCTGGGATGGCTGGGATCAAACCCCAGTTGGCTGTGTGCAATGCAAACACCCTACCCTGTACTATCTCTCTGACCCCTGATGCTCATATTTTAAACCTGAATTATTGCATTAAATTTTGTTTGACTTGAAAGTAATTTTAAACTTACAACTATTACATTAACTTTTCAATGTGGTATTTAAAGATTGGCGGTTTTTCATCTCATTCTTTACTACACTTCAATGTAAAGTGTAGAAAGAAATTGAAGTTTCTCTTCCTGAAAAAAAAGCCAAGTGGTTTTTAAGTAAACCACATTTTTTTACACCCTAGATTTAAGTATCCTTTTAAGAACAACAGATATTTTCCCTCGACTGTGATCCTAAAGAGCTGCATTGACAAACAGAATTTATTAATAATTACTTTTAACAAATGCTCTTCACAAAGGAATATTTAAAAAATCAGTTTATTAATGTTTAAAAGTTGATAAAGCTATGTGCAAAATGATCCACGTCAGTCAGGAAAGAACCCATTAAATACTATTTTTTTTTTAAAAAAAAGTAATTTCTCAGTTTAATTGCACTGAAAACCCTACGAAAGAGACAGAGACATAATTTTATTCCTTGTGATATTTATACACATCCTCAATTAGCTATTAAATGAGTAACTGTACTGAAAAACTTCTGAAGTTCTGTATCAGTTAAAGTAATGCTTTAGAGGGCACAAGAGGGTGGTATAAAATACACATTCAACGGGTGTTAACACAGGTTAGAAAAAAATCCAAAAAAGTCATCTCTGCTGAAACAAATACATTCAAAAATCATGAAAAATACTTTTAACAGAACAAAATACAACCATCCCACCGGCTGAAATGAACCACACAACACTCTGAAATAAACATCAAGGAAAGTGCCAAAGACATATGCATTTGTTAGGTGACGTCATTAAAAAAAATGTCTCTTGGTTTGTAGAAGACAATTCTGACCAGTTTTGACTTTGTTTTTGTTTACTTTCCCCTAGGATACTAAGGTTTCTAGCTACCAACAGGTAGAGATCTTGGACTTTTTTTACTCAGATTTCAACCACAAATCATACTGTAACAAATTTCATTGTCAAGGTGGGGGGGGGGGGGGTTGAGCGGCAGGGAGCAAAATTAAAGTGATTCCAATAGGTCCCAAACACTGATGCAGCTCAGAGAAACTTTGGCCTAGGCAAATGAAACTGCTTTACATCCCCAATCCATCTCTATCTCCTCATGGTCTACCTACATGCTGAAAACTTGATCTACTGAACCCAACCTGATGGCTGATCAATTGATCGAGAAAAGGTCCGTCCTACCGCCTCCAGCTCTGATGAAGGTCAGGGAGTTAAGATAAAAAGTAAAAGAACTTCGAGGACGGATGTGAAAGGCAAAGGAGGGTGGGCCAGGGAGCGCATACCTACGTGAGCGAAGTACACAGTTGGCTTGGAAACTAAAGTGAAAGAAAACACCTCCTCAAAGCTCCAGGGAGCTTTCATATCGGGGACCGAACACTGGTCTATGAGGAGCAGCCGAATGAACAACCCTTCGGGAGCTTGACAATGCTAGACCTTTGGCTCAGTGCAAAAATCAAAACTCCAGGGAGGAGGAAATAGACTCCGGGCCAGGACCTGATCTCCACCCTTCCCAGGGCATTGTTCACCGGAACTCACTCAAGCCACCAACACCCACGACCACCAGGCCGGTTCCAACAGCTCCCTTGGCTCTTAGGCAGCTGTGGAAACTTTGTTTCTCCAAACACTGGTGGTCGGTGACCTCAGCAGCTTTCGATTTTAGGAAGATGAGTTGACGTTGCCAGAAGACATGATGGTCTCTGGGTTGTCCCCATCGTCCTTCTGCGGATGGGAGGAATTGTCCGACTTACTGCGGCTGAATTCCACGCCGGCAATGATGGGGCGCTTGAATTTGCCTGTGGAGTCCCCGCTGGGGCACTTGCAGCACGACATGATACGAGTGAAAGCCCTGCGCATCTCCTTGTTGGTCAGCGTGTAAATGATGGGGTTGGTGGCCGAGTTGAGCACGGCCAACACCAGGAAGTACTCGGCTTTGAAAAGGATGTCACATGTCTTCACCTTGCAGCCCACATCCAGCAGAAGCAGGATGAAGAGCGGGGCCCAGCAGGCGATGAAGACGCTCAGGACGATGATGACGGTCTTGAGCAGGGCCAGGGACTTCTCCGAGCTGCGGCTGGCCTTGGAAATGTTCTTGCGGAAAGTCAGGCGTCGGCTCCGAGTCCTGACCAGGGAGTAAATCCTGCAGTAGAGAATGACGATGGAGAGCAGGAGCAGAGTGAAGACGGTGGTGCAGAAGAGGATATAGTGCTTGTGGTAGAGGGGAAGCACGGTGGAGCAGCTGGGCAGCGCCCCGATGCAGTTCCAACCCATGATGGGCAGGCCCCCCAAGATGAGGGAGATGACCCAGCAGGCACTGATGAGCAGGAAGGAGCGGAAGCTGTTGCTGCCGTTGTGCAGTTTCATCTTCAGCATGGTGATATAGCGTTCGATGGCGATGGCCAGGAGGCTGAAGACAGAGGCCGACAGCGCCACGAACATGCTCCCTTCGCGCAGAAACCACTGGGCGGGTGTGAGCTTGTACGTGGTAGCCCCAGACAAGAGCAGATTGGCTATGTAGGCCACTCCCGCCAAGAGGTCTGAGAGGGCCAGGTTGCCAATGAAGTAGTACATGGGTCGGTGAAACTTCTTGGTTTTCCAAATGGTCAGCAAAACGAAGATGTTCTCCAGGATGATGAAGCAACAGATGAGGATGAACACCACCGAGGTCCGCTTAATGCCATTCTCCTTCTCTGCGCTGATGTTCAGCTTTCCCGTGTAGTTGTAATGCCGGACGATGATGTCATAGTTGACATAGTCCGAGACGGAGCTGCGGAGGGCCTTGACCAGCGGGATGCTGGTGGAACCCATCGCGCACGCACGCGGGGTCCCCAGGAACCCGCGAAGGGCGCTTCTGCAGACCAACCGCTAGAGGGCGCCGTGGAGAAAGGCGTCACTAGCTGCCGCGCCGGTTCGGTGGACGGATCCACGCTTATTGTGTCGCTTTTTCGCCTCGAAACCGCAGCCTTAAACCAATACAAAGGGAAGAGAGTTAGGGAACAAGCTGAGGCATCCTGGCGTAATTCATTTCAGCCAAAACAGTGCTCCAGATTTGCTGTCCTTCGTTTAGGGACACTTGGGGGGAAAGCGCGGGGAGAGGGATTTAAGAACAATTGTTCACGTCCCATTTCTCGAGGGGGTCAAGGGGAAGCAGAAACAAGAATTTCGCCAAACTAAAAAGCTCCAGTCTATTCAACGAACCCTCCTTGCGGGTCATACCCACTCCACTGGAAACTGCAAGCCCAGAGAGGTGGCACTTTGCCACCGTTTCATTCTCCGGCTCCCGCACCCCACTCGGGGTCTCTCCCACCGACGGAAAAGCCCTGGCGGCAGAGAGGAGGGTGCACCCCAGTACTCCTCACCCCGCCCCCCGCAGCCTCCCCTGAGTCAGGGGAGGTGAGATCCGCGTCCCAAATTGCCTTTCAGGTCATTAAATGTGCACGAGCATAATTTGACAGAGCAAGCCCTCGGCCGGGCTCTATTAATAGCTCTCGAGCAGGTGTGCTTCGGGTCCGAGGGCGAAGCCCGCTGTGGGCAGCCAAGCCCGCCCCAGTCGTGAGATAAACAGGAAAGATCGGCGCCTCCGTGAAGCAACTGACTGCCTTAGCCCTCTCGCTCCCACCCCCCGCCCCCCGCAAGCCCCGCAAAAGAATGTCAAGATACTTCACCGCAATCATTAATTGTGATAAATCCCAGCAATTCCGTCTATTCGGTTCAAAGGAGTCTTTTTGGAGTGACTTGGGCACAAATGCCCAAACACACTAAAAAGAGAAGTTGCGCCGCCGCTGATGCTCACAGGCGCGCCTCTGCACGCCAGCTCCAGAAACTCCCTTCAGCTCTCCCGGCGGCTAAGTCTGCGGGCACCGTTTCACTGACCGTTTCTCCCACCCCAATCCAGCACGGTGCCCCTCTCAGATCACGCCAAAGCGTGGGGGGGGGGGACGGAGGGAGTGCTGCGGATGGGGCAGGGAACGGGTCCGGGGGAGCAGGCATGTACCTCTAAGTTGTTTGCACGCTCCAGAGTAACGCAGACGTGTGGTCCCAGCGGAGCCACGGAGCAACCCCCGCTACTCGGCTACTCGCACACGGCCCGAAACTCCCCGTTTCTAACCCGATACCCTCTCTGCGCTTGGCCGGCGGACTGAAAACTCGCACCCTGCCTCTCTTATTCTTTGTCTCTAGGATTTCCCCACACACAAGTGCCTTCCTTTCCTCGGCGCCGTTGCTACCGCGTCCCCTCTACCAGGGGGACTCAACCCGGGGCCAAACTTCACAAAGCCCCAGCACCCCACCCACCCACCCAAAGAACCAGCGCCTCGGGCTGGGCTCCGGAGCCGCCCGGAGATCGCGTGCTTCCAGCTGCACCCGGGGACGGATGCTCTCAAGGGTTTCTGCGGTCCCCGTGCTCCGTCTCGGTGTTTAGAAACCCGTCGGCGAGCCCGCCCGCCTTGCCCCGCCGGCCTTACCTCGATCCAGCGGGCCCGAGTGGCGTGGGCAGCGCTCCGGGGCCGCCGCGCTGCGCGCTCGGCATCTTGCGGCTGCCCCCGAGGGCGGCGCGCTCCCTAAACTTTCCTCCCGCCGGGGTCCCCTCCCTCTGCGGCCGCACACTCCAATGACCGGGCGGCTGGCCGCAGCCCGCGCCGGAGGTCGCCCAGCGCGCAGCCCACAGACTGGGTGGCGGCTAGAGGAGGAGACGGGGAGGGGTTAAGGCCTCAACCCCCCACGCCCTCCGCCAGCGGCGCGGGGGGCCCCCCGGATCTCCTGCTGAGACGTAAATCCAGGACCGATCTGGGGCAGAAGAAAAAAAGAAAAAGGGGTTAAAAAAAAAGCCAAGTACCCTCCTCCCTCCAGGCCACCGACAGCCGGAGGCGGAGCCTGGCCCCCGTGGACTCTGGGGTATAAATCACGGTCACTGCCTCCGGTTACTCCGGGCGGCGCAGAGGCTCCCCGAGCTTTGTTGGAGAGAAGTGAGGAAGCTTTAGAAACTTTTCTCACGCAGTCTTGGGGGCCAGAGCGTGGCCCCGGAGTTTCGAGGCGCACTTGCGGCAATCCCTTGGGGTGCAGGTGCGGAGGGAATCCGACTGAGCGCCCCAGAGGTCGCGTCTCTGCTAAACAAGAGACTCTGGGGAGATGAGACCAGGACGAGGCGGGGGTACTCGAAAATTCTGGGGGAAGGTGAGCAGCCAGGGAGGGAGAAAGGTCTGAAGTTCTTCCACTTTTTCCCCACTCACTTCTTCCTGCATCTCTACCCCACCTGCAAAACACTCACACGCACACGCGCTCACACAGCGCTCTGAGGGGGTGAAACTTGCGGCGGGCTGGAGCAGAGGGTGGAGGGCGGCCCTGGCGCTGCCCAGGGCATAGTGAAGTGGGCCAGCAACCCGCGGGGCTTCCCCGTCCTCAGCTGGGCGCAGTCAGGCGGTGTGTCCCAGATTGGGTCAGTGGCTATATCTCTGAGGTGGGCAGCTGAGGAGCGCTGACAAACTCGATTTGCCCTGGAATTGGCAAAGTGACAGGGCCGACCCCTAAACCAGGCAGGCCTGCCTGGGAGAGTCCCTTCTTTTCTACCAGTGAGATAACTCTGAGACCCCTCCGCCCCCAACCTCACTCTCCCTCATTTCCCCCACCCAGCCCACCCCGTGCGCGCCACACACACACACACACACACACACACACACACACACACACACGACAGCTTACCACTGACCCAGTCTCTACTTTCCCTAAAATGCAACTTCAAAAGGTGCATCTGCCAGGAGGCAGTGATCAGCCTGCCCTAGGGCCACTGACTTGCCCTAGGGCCACTAAAATGGTTTCCATACTGTCCCCAGTCTTGCTGACTCCCACCTGGGCAGAACTCTTTGCTTTTGCAGTTTCAATTGATAGACACACCCGTACTTGAATGACTCAAAAGGAGATTGAATGAATAAACAAGGGATTTCACGAGAGAGAAAAAAAAAACCTCAAATGACAGTTACATTCACAGGTGCCTGAAAACCATACATCACATCCCACACATACCCATGAATTCAGCTAGATTTCATGTTATGTAGACACTGACATAACAGCCTGAGTGCAGACTCTAGAAGTGAGTGGCTTCGAGGACTTCCTTACCTTGAAAGGGCAGATAGGTTGGGACCACCAAGGACAGCATAAAGTGAGGAGGACAAATGCAGTCCATCCATTAATCTTTGGGTTCTTTTTAAAGGGAAAGAGAGTGAAGTAAATTGCACGCCCAGACTACCTCAGGCTTGTGATTGCTGTTCTCACTGAGCACTTCTGATCTGAGCAGCAAACTTCGTTGGTCATTTTATTGATGAGGAAAATGTCAATCCCTAGTTTAAGTCGCTTAGCCCAGCAGGTCTTCTCAGTCAAATGCTTCCAGTCAATAAATCGTTTAGGAATTCACATGCATCTTCCTGAAGGGAAGTTAACTTGTAGAACTGAAGTTTAAAGATTTACACCAACTTTTTGATCCTCTATGCTTGCAAAATGTATGCAATGAGATGCTAATGAATGTCCCTTTGGAATCACATATTTCCTTGATTTAAGGGCAGTGGTGGGGGTTCTTGAGTAACTTTGGTGGTGGTAACTTTGTGCAGTAACTGTCAAAACCATATATGCCTACCCTGTTGTAGTGCATGCGACTTCTTGTCCTAAGGCTGTGAAGGTTGAAAGCAAAAGTGCAGCATCAGGATGTTCTGGTTCTGCTATTGAAAGAAGAAAACAAAAGAAATCTGAGGATGGGCAGGGCAGGGCAAGGCAAGGAAGCTAGGTCATGGGGTTTCTTAAGCCAACTGACTAGGTAGGTGAGAACTCTTTCCCTTTCATAGTTTTTTAACAAGGGGGATGGGTGAGCACTTTGCATTGGGTTAAGGCACCAAGATGGTGATCAGAGGGGGTGGGGAAGAGCAGGATGTTTGAAGATGCCTTTTGCATATCCTAGTTGCATATCCTGGGCTCATTAGCAACATTCCATACCAGGAATTTTTCTTTGGGGACTTTTCTAATCTCACCCTAGCTGTCTCCCTCCTGTCCCTATGTTGCTGTTTCAATACTGTTGCAAACACGTTACTTCAATGATAATAAAAATTAATAATAGAATCACTTTCTGTCTACAAAAGACATCAAAGTAAATTAATGCTTTTTCTATCATAAGTTTTTTGGGCTGAAATGTTTTATGAAATTTTTTAACTTTTTTATAAAGATTACTTTTATATTTAAAATTGAGTGAACGGTACAAACATTTCCCATATATTTTGGCCTCCACCTCCCAGACACTTGAACAGGCTCTCCCAGGATGATCATGCCCTCCCTCCTCCATACAGTCATTAAAATTGAGGACATAATGACTGCATTATCATCACCCAAGTTCATAGCCTGTAATCTATATGAGGCTTCACTTTGTGTGTGTGTTGGGGCGGGGGATGCACAGCTGGAAGTGCTCAGGGCTTACTCCTGGCTCTGTGTTCAAGAATCATTCCTGACAGGGCTCAGGGGACCATTTGGAGACCCAGGGATGGGACACAGGGACAGAGCCCTACCTGCTGTGCTATCCCTCTGATCTGAAGCTTCACTCTTTTGTTTGCTTTTGGAACACACCCAGTGCTGCTCAGAGTAACTCCTGACTCTGTGCTCAGGGATCACTCCTGGGGGTGGGGGGGCATGTGGGATGCCAGGGATCAAACCCCAGTCAGTCATATGCACCATATGCAAAGCAAGCACCTTACCCACTTTACTATCTCTCCAGACCCTCGAGGATTCAATGTTGAAGCAGCACACTTTAAATGTTTAAATGAATAAGTGAGATCAGAGCACATGACTACGGGGTTCTGCAGAGTATTTTCACTGCTCTAAAAATTTTCACTGCTCTAAAAAAAAAAAACACTGCTCTGCAGTTTTATTCCTTCTTTCCTTCTGTAAGTATATTTTTGAAAGTCACAGATTTCCTGACAGTAAGTGCATTTAAAGTGGACTTCAAGGTCCACTTTCAATGTGTTTTTGAAACTCTCATTTATTTACCACATCTAATGCAAGGCTGTACTTCAAGTATTTGAGCTCCAGATTCTATAGGGTTACACATGTTTATTCATTTAACTGTTACAACGATCCTCCAAGTTAGACATTTCAGGGACACAATTTTACAGAGAAGTTAATTGAGTCCCAAGTATAATAAGCAATATGGTTAGCATGGACTAGCACTGTAGCACTGTCCTCCTGTTGTTCATCAATTTGCTTGAGCAGGCCAGTAATGTCTCCATTGTGAGACTTGTTGTTGCTGTGTTTGGCATATCAGAATACATCTTAGGTAGCTTGCCAGGCTTTGCCGTGTGGGCGAGATAGTCTCGGTAGCTTGCAGGGCTCTGCGAGAGGGGTGGAGGAATTGAACTCGGGTCTACTGAGTCGGCCACGTGCCGCGTGCAAGGCAAATGCCCTACCACTGTCTTATCGCTCAATCAGCATGGACTATAATATAGACAAAGTGGGACTTCCACGTAGGACTCCAAAATACCTTACAACATATCCACTAGGGTCAACTGTGGCCAAAAGTTATAAAGAAGTCAGATCATTGCTTCTTTTGTTTCTTTGGTTGGGGAAACGGGGGAGGGTATCCATATCCCATGGCATTTTGGTTAGACCTCCTGGATTGCCCTCAGTAATGATAGGGATCAAACCCAGGGATCCCACATGCAAAGTATGCTCTCTAGCCCTTTGAGCCATCACCCCATTCAACAGTCTGTTTCTTCTGAATATAGTTAGTGAGAACAATATTCAATATTGAGTGGCTTCATTTTTCTTTAATTCAAGAAAATGTTCTGGGGGCTGGAGCAATAACACAGCAGGAAAGGTGTTTGCCTTGCACAGGGCCGACGGGGGTTTGTTTCTCATCATCCCATATGGTCCCCTGAGCACCACCAGGAGTAATTTCTGAGTGTAGAGCCAGGAGTAACCCCTGTGCATTGCCTGGTGTGACCCAAAAAAGAAAAAAAAATTTCATTTTCATCTCCTCTGTTTCCTCTTCCTGTTATGGATGATGTTGTTGCTGTACTTGCCAGGGACTGTGTACTGACCTGGCTATAAAACCAGCACTTTATTTTTTTAATTAATTAAAAATTTTAATTAAAGAACCCTGATTTACATGTTAATTTCGCTGTGCTGCTCCCTGGGTGTTGTGCATCAGATCGAGGTGCTCTCACGCTTATCTGTGGTATATATCAGAGCTAGCGCTACTTTCACTGTGGTGTTCACACAGGATCACTCTCTTAGTCGAGGCACATGAATAATGACTGTGGGTGTCATTGTGGTGTGCTGAAGCATGTGATCTCTGGGGTTGTATTTCCTGACCATAGGACTTGGGCATCTTTTTAGTTCCCAGCCTCATTGGGCATTGAACCCTGGTTGTAATTTTTATGACCTTATGTGAACAAAAATTGCTTGTATCACTAGGCAACTCAGATTGAAGCCAGGTTGACAGGTCAGGATTAACGTTTTTTTTTTTTTGTTTAATTTTGTTTTGTTTTGTTTGTTTTTGCCTTTTGGGTCACATCTAGCAATTCTCAGG